GAATGGGTACCATTTCCCTTCTTCAGGGGATCTTCCCAACCCACGGATCAAACCCAGGTCTCCCACATTGCAGATGGGTTCTTTACCAACTGAGCTATCAGGGAAGCCCCAGTAAATATTAACCTTTGTTATGCTGAAATTGTCATTTCTAAGTGATCAAATAGTAGATACTGTTTATGTAAATTGGTCATTAGTTTGTAGAGAAGATTTCCCATTGCTTTCCACAATTCACCCGTAGTCATTTCACTGAGGACCTAATATTTAGCTGGGTGATGCCTTAACATAACCCAGACGAACTATGTTATCATTTTATTGGAATAACATGCACAAGATAATCTAGGCATTTCTGTTACCCAACAACAAGAGATATATCTATTTCCTGAGAAGTAATTATTTTGGAACAATTTGCAGCAATATTATGACAGAGCTACTGGCGCACTGAGTAGATCTTAAGACGCTTCAGAGAAGGAGAAAAGAACTTGTTAAAATAATCTCCAGAACTGAATAATGCTTTGGGTGTAATCTATCCATTTTAGCATTTTGATTGACCGTCTTCCACAACTTTCTTTATTCAAGACATCAATTTTATCACATACCTTTAATCCTAAAATTTAAGTGAAAAAAGTAAATGGTTTTTACTTCTGATGAGCCAGTAGCTGATTTTGTCTGCACGCTCCCCATGTAACCTCCCAAAGTTCAGAGGATATAAATCTCCACATCCTCACTTCTAAGACCATGCCCTGAGAAGATTTTGCTGTAGTCAGAACCATGTCTTATTTCATGAAGACTCTGTGTCTCTTAAAAGAGCATCATGTCCTTCCTAGCAATGCTCTCATGGCTAACACACAAAGACACACACACACACACACACACAAGCATGCAAGACTGTGCTGATTACATAATGATGATGTTTGCACTTTTCTCATCCTGAAACATTAAGAATTATGAATACTTCATTTCTTCTTGTTGTTTTGAATCCATATCCTGCCTTTCTTTCTCAGGAGACATGTTCTTCTCACTAGAGTATGTCAGGAAGCAGTTTGATTCTCTCAGGAATTGCCTTGGACGGGTCTGTCTCTATGTGTTGGTGAGTATGAATGTTCAGGAAGCAAAAGAAATAAATATAAAAGGTAATGTAAAAAGAAAAATAAAAGTAAATAAACAGCAATATATAATGAATAACCTATAGTATAGGTAGCTGCTATCATAGACTGTGTACACAATATGATATTAATTCAAGGGAAATGTACTACTGGAACCAAATATGTATGTGACCACTCTATACTATTAATATAAGATAACTCAGATTTAAATTTTTGTTTGAATTAAACTAAGTAGTTATCAAAAATAATTATGAAAATGGTGTAACTTTCATGTCATATTAATAGTATATTGACCCAGTATTTATTTTGATTATTATAAAAGACTCAATAAATCATAATAATCTTCTAATCTTCTAGTAACATGAATTTAACAAAGTACCTTTCTGTTTGTATCAGAAGTAGAAAAACTTGAGTCAAAGATATATATTATGATGATGAAAAAACTGTATGATACTTAATATTTTTTGTTTAAATAATATAAAAAAGTGGATAAGATAATAAATACCTATTATTGACATGATATGAAGGCAAAGGAAAAAGTCTACATAAGAGTAAGTTGTCATTTGTTTTTTTAATTGGAGTATAATTTCTTTACAATGTTAGTTTCTGCCATACAAGGATGTGAATCACTTATGTGTATATACATACCCCCTCCATCGTGAATCTCCCTTCCATACCCATAATTCCACCCTTACCAGTCATTCACAGAACACCAAACAGAGAATCCTGTGCTATACAGCAGCTTCCCGCTAGCTAACTTTGCTACCTGATTCTAAAAAAAAAAGTTTCAATTCTTCCTCTTTTTTGTGAATATAGCTTTATTCCTCTGTTCAGATTCATATTCCTTTAAAAATTGTTGTGCTTCCTTTAAAAATTGTTGGGCTTCCCTGGTGGCTAAGCTGATAAAGAATCTGCCTGCGATGTGGGAGACCTGAGTTCTATCCCTGGCTTGTTAAGATCCCCTGGAGAAAGGAATAGCTACCCATTTCAGTATTCTTGCCTGGAGAATTGTATGGACTGTATAGTCCATGGTGTCTTAAAGAGTTGGACATGACTGAGCAACTTTCACACATGCATGCTTAATACACAAAAAGTTGAATATATTTAATGTATGCATTTTGATAAATTTGGAAATGATATGCCATCACAAACGATATAAACCATCACCTCCAAAGACTGCTTGTGCTGCATTTTCTTCATTTGTTCGTGAGATGAACACTGGTCATGAGTTTGTGCACTTTAAAACTTAAGAGGGCAGAAACCCGTTCTTGAAGGTGTATTTTGTCACTATTGATTTCTGAGTGGAAGACAATTACAATTCTGAAATGAATTGTCTTTACAGGTCTAAAAGATAAAGAAGTGATCTAAACGGCTCTAAAGGGCCTCTATAGCTAAGTTTTCAACTTAAATATTGAATTTTGTCCTCTAAACAGAAGTTACCATTTTGTCTAAATAAGACTAAGTTAAACAAAGCTTATCTTAACTAATAAAAATGATCAGAGATATTATGTAACATCACAGAATTTTATTTTTCTTGCTCTGTGTGCATGTTTGTGTCAAATTTAAAAACCTCTTATGGCACATCAGCTACCTATCAGCCAATTTTCAAAGTTGTTTAGAATCATTTTCAAAGTAAATATAGCAAAGTTCATTTGTCTCAAGAACTGGACCAAGCACCATGATGGTCTGTTCTGTTTCAAAAAAATAAATCTGTATTGCAGTTAATTCTTGTTCAGCAAAACATATGATTTATCATCCAATAATTTGCTTACACCTTGATTTGCTAGACCAGAAGACATGCCAGAAATATATCTAAATCACTCTTGTTTTTCTTACCTATTATGCTGATTTCTGTATTGGCAGGCAGATTCTTTACCACTGCACCACCAGGGAAGCACCATAATGTTGATTTCTAACCGTATTTTAAACACCAAATAAATGTAATGTCCTTTAATTTGCTTTAAAAAATGCTGTTAAAAAAATGTGATGTTTTATGACAGAATTTGAAATTGGATGTGAGTCCTAGAACTAATTTTGACACTTTCAACTTTTAATAATACAGATTCTAAACCTCAAAAATATACCCACATTGTTGAAGTAATCAATTTGCTGTATATTCTAGAAATACAAATTATTTCTTTCTCATCCTGATTCTTGCACAGTTTCAAAAAGCATTCATGGCTGTTTCCATTATGAATGAAATGGTTCCATGTTATGATTCATTATTAATACCATTATCTTGTTCTCTCACTGATTCAGAAGGCTCAAGCTTATGATATATACAAGGAATATTAAGAAATCCATGTGTTTTGCCCATATATTTTATTCATTTTATATTTAATGATACATTCCTTAATTAAAATTATAAAACATTCCACACTTGCTTGTTAGAGTAACAATAGGTTGTTAAAGGATTTGCAGCATTTAGATAAATGGAGGTTGATAAACTTGTGGCCTTAGGAAACCTCACTACAAACAAAACTAATGGAGGTGATAGATTTCCAGTTGAGCTATTCAAATCCTAAGAAATGATGCTGTGAAAGTGCTGCACTCAATATGCCAGCAAATTTGGAAAACTCAGCAGTGGCCACAAGACTGGAAAATGTCAGTTTTCATTCCAATCCCAAAGAAAGGCAATGCCGCAGAATGCTCAAACTACCACACAATTGCACTCATCTCACATGCTAGTAAAGTAATGCTCAAATTTCTCCAAGCCAGGCTTCAGCAATACATGAACCATGAATTTTCATATGTTCAAGCTGGTTTTAGAAAAGGCAGATGAACCAGAGATCAAATTGCCAAAATCTGCTGGGTCATCAAAAAAGCAAGAGAGTTCCAGAAAAACATCTATTTCTGCTTTACTGACTATGCCAAAGCCTTTGACTGTGTGGACCACAATAAACTNGGACTGCAAGGAGATCCAACCAGTCCATCCTAAAGGAAATCAGTCCTGAGTGTTCATTGGAAGGACTGATGTTGAAGCTGAAACTCCAGTATTTTGGCCACCTGATGCGAAGAGCTGACTCTTGAAAAGACCGTGATGCTGGGAAAGATTGAAGGTGGGAGAAGGGGACCACAGAGGATGAGATGGTTGGATGGCATCACCGACTCAATGGACATGAGTTTGGGTGAACTCTGGGAGTTGGTGATGGACAGGGAGGCCTGGCATGCTGCACTCACATGTGGCATGGGGTTGCAAAGAGTTGGACATGACTGAGTGGCTGAACTGAACTGAACTGAAACTTGTGAGATAAACTCATGGTTAGCTGAAGGTGTAAAGTGCCTCACACTGAATGCACAATGGCACCTTGCTGCCCACTTAGACATGGCAAATCTTGCAGAGAGTGATGAAATGTTTCTTAGGTGCCAAGGGTATAGGGGAGATTCCCAGTTGGCACCAGTGGTAAACATACCACCGGCCAATGCAGGCAATATAAGAGGTAGTTCGATCCCTGGGTTGGGAACATCCCTTGGAGGCTGGCAGGGCAATCCACTCCGTGTTCTTGCTTGTAGAATACCATGGACAGAGGAGCATTGTGGGCTACAATACATAGGGTTGCAAAGAGTCAAACATGACTAAAGTGACTTGGTACGCACATAGTCATAGAAAGCCCAGTGATGAATGCTGCCATGCTATTTTATAATTAGCTTGAACTGATTAGTTTATATTATAGTTTACAGTACTTATTTTTTTTTTAGTGTTTAACAGCTGCTATTTCAGTATGTATCAAACAAAATAGAATGATTTTTTTAATATGTTTCCACAGAATGCCCTTACTGGTGTGTATTAGCCAAGTGTCACCCTTGCCTAAGAATATGAGAAACATGACATATTTTGAAAGAAGAACATCTATTAATAACATGATGTGGAAAAGTATGAGACAAGAATGAGTTATTAAAGAAACCTCTATATACTTACTAAATGGGTAAATAATTTCATCTGATGTCTACCAACTATCACTTGGGAGTGGAAATGCTCCTTATCAGATTGCCCAGTGCCCCCTTTACATCCTTATTCCTCAGAGTGTAGATGAAAGGATTGAGTGCAGGAGTCACCACTCCATAGAAGAGAGCCATGAACTTGGGCTGGTCTCTTGAGATGGAGGAGGGGGGCTGAAGGTACATGCTGATACCTGGGCCATAAAATAAGAAAACTACAATGAGATGGGAAGAACATGTCCCAAAAGCTTTTCTCCTTCCCTCTGAAGATTTAATCTTAAATACAGCATGTCCAATACAAGCATAGGAAACAAGAATTAAGCATAGTGGCACAGCTAGGAAAAAAGCGCATACCACAGAGAGTGTGAGTTCATTAGCACCCTTTTCACCACAGGCAGTCTTTATCAGAACAGGAATCTCACACAGCAAGTGGTCCAGGGTATCATGACCACACAGTGGTAACTGTAATGTGACAGTAGCCTCTGAGACAGCATAGATCATTCCACTCAGCCACACGGTGGCCACTAATAAGATACAGACGCGCTGATTCATGATGAGGGTATAGTGTAGAGGCTTGCAGATGGCCACATAGCGATCAAAAGACATAACAGCCAAAAGCAGACATTCTGTGCCCCCCATTATGTGGAAGAAATAAAGCTGAACTGCACACCCCATATAGCTGATAGTCTTCTTAGACGTTCCCAGGTTAAAGAGCATCTGAGGGACAATGCTTGTGGTGTAGCACATGTCCAGAAAGGAGAGGTTAGTGAGGAAGAAATACATGGGGCTGTGCAGACTGGGGTCTAACTTGGACACCAGAATGATGGCTATGTTTCCCATCATGGCCGTGGGATATGTTATAAGCAGAATAATGAATACAGGAAGCTCTAGCCAAGGACGGTCAGTAAAGCCTAGTAGAATAAACTCGTTGGGATGGCTTTTGTTATTTGGTTCCATTATCTTCAATTTGTTTCACCTATAGCAGGGAAGTAGCAAAAAGGTAGAAAAATTTTGAGAGATGATTAAACACAATTTTGTATCTCGCACAATTAAGCATCCAGTCATAGGAGGTTGAGTACAGTAACTAACTGGAAAAAAGTCAAAGTGAAGTTGCTCAGTTGTGTCTCTTTGTGACCCCATGAACTGTAGCCTACCAGGATCTTCCATCCATGGGATTTTCCAGGCAAGAGTACTGGAGTGGGTTGCCATTTCCTTCTCCAGGGGATCTTCCCGACCCAGGGATCGAACCCAGGTCTTCCACATTGTAGGCAGATGCTTTACCCTCTGAACTGGAGGAGAGGACTAATGAAACGAATGTGACACTAGATGACTTAATTTCTTTTCAACAGTTTATAAAATAAAGGTAACCTTATGTAAACCTTAAGTAATCTAACCATTTTGAAATTGAATTTTCTTTTGTGTATAATAAAGATATAGTAACTATATCCTTGGGCTATGGTGAGGGTTAAATGTCAAGTAGAAATGACTGTGCTTCAGATTTTCCAAAGGAATGCTTTTCATACTATGTATGCATACTTCAGCTGAAGATGCAGTTAAAATGAAGTTTATTGGTTCCTATATTCAAATGTCTAGTAGAGTAGATGTGGCATGGGACCTAGGAATCAGATAGTTCCTTTTCAGAATCACTGCTGCAAGGTATTACTGAAATATTAAGACTAAAAGTGTAAGTTTTAGTTAGTTTCTCCACTTCCACAAGAAGGAGGTGGAGAAAACCTTGCACTTAAGCATCATCAAGGTAGCCTTGTTCAGATACAAGTATATTATTATAGTTGAAGAGTTACATCATCCTCATAGGAACTGACAAGGCAGGTTTTATTCAAATCCATCGTAGTAATTTATAATTGAAAAAGAAATTTAAACATTTTTGTGCTGGTGTCCTGAAATATAAATGGAGAGGATTTAGCTGTGACATGTTTTCCTGTACTCAGAATTTTGTTTTGGAATGGAAATTTTCTTGCACAACTACTTCATTTAAACTGGGCAATTTGCTATGGAGAACAGTATAGAGATTTCTTAAAAGACTGGAAATAGAACTGCCATATGACCCAGCAATCCCTCTGCTAGGCAAACACACCGAAGAAACCAGAACTGAAAGAGACACGTGTACCCCAGTGTTAAATGCAACATTGCTTATAATAGCCAGGACGTGGAAGCAACCTAGATGCCCATCAGCAGACGAATGGACAAGGAAGCTGTGGTACATATGCACCATGGAATATTACTCAGCCATTAAAAAGAATTCATTTGAATCAGTTCTAATGAGATGGATGAAACTGGAGCCCATTATACAGAGTGAAGTAAGCCAGAAAGATAAAGACCAATACAGTATACTAACACATATATATGGAATTT